ATAATGTTTTTCAACATACTCATCCATTATTTTAGTACTATAATTTATCCAGTAAATTTCAATCATTGGTTCCTGAACTTTGAAACGAAACTTGAAAACTCTAACTACTTCTTGAATTAATTTCTCTGCCATTCTTTCAACCATGGTCTTCTTTTTAGGATCGTTGACTGCACGATATTGGTTCATTGAATCATTTAGTCTTTTTTGAAATATAGTTAGAAATGGATGCTGTTTATTTTCAATATTTTTTTCGTATACATTAGCATATCCACGATTACCGAGTATAACATAGACCTGTTGACGTAATTTTATAGATGCTACCCTAGTAACATCATCTGTGCCTACACGTTCATTGGAAAATCTATTAATAAGTCCAATTAAATCGTCTGTTTTACGAATAATATTTGATTCGAGAGTACATGTTTCCGTACAATCATTTTCCGGACACACATCTGTATATGATAAAATTTCTTTCAACACATGATGCTGTAAGACAGCTTTAATTAATCGCCTGTTTGGATCATCAGAATTAATTGTTGTTTGAGATCCATATGTCTGTAAAAGTTTGTTAACATTTTCAAAATTTATTTCTACACCAGTTTTCAAATTAGTTACATAATCTTCAATCATGTTTTGAAGATTTTCAATATCAGACTTAAGTCGCATGGTGTTATTTGGATCATCATCATTAAATCGAAAATTTGTTGCATTACCCAGTGCTAGTTGATATTTGGATGCTTCATCTTTTAATTCCGTATTTTTCTTTTCAAGAAAAGTGATTTGCTGGTCTTGCACAGATAAATCGTGTTGCAACATTATCTTGCCTTCCCTTTCCCTTTGCAATAGATGCTTGCAACTTTCAAAATCTTTTCGTAATTTGATAAGTAATTCACGGTAATTTTGATTATCGTCTTCCAACTTCTTAATCGTTGAAACCTTTTCTTGGACTTCTGCCCTAAGATCCACAATTTGTTTATTTCTTTCTCTAAATTTTGCAATATCAAAAAAAAGTCGGAATATAAACTTGAGAATCCACAACATTTTAATACTTGATTTCTCAATAACGATGAAAGAAAATTGTTTTTACAAACAAAGTTTTTTATGTACAAATTCTAGCGATACCTTCATTGTACATAATATAATAAACTCAATGAAGTCAATTTATATATTTAATGTAATATACTCGAAAACTTCTAAAGGAATTGCGGAATCTAAAATTGTTATTCTAACTTTCGTATTCCTATAAAGTACAGACTCAAATGAAATTTATCCTACAATTGAAAGCATCAATATTTTTGCCTCCATCTTAATTTGACTATTTAAGTTAGTATCTTCAAGATATTTGTATGTTATGTGTAATGTAATAAACTC